TTCAATTTTCATGAATAGCTACTAATTGTGAAAGTAAGCTTTCTATATTTAAAACTTCCATATCTAAAGTTTGTTATTGGCTTGAATGACTTTGTTGCAAATGTTAATAGGAAATAATATTCTGTGCCACAAAACTGACATTATGATGCAGGTAAAAGTACTAGTGTAACAAATTGCTCCACAAATCTTGTTTCTAGTTTTTGGAGTAAGATTTAGCTGGAGCAAGTCTTCCAAAGCCAGTTTTATTTCTGGAAGGTGAGCTACAAATGTTTTGACACTCTCTGTTTGATTTGACCACCTGGTGCCATTTATATTGTGAAGAGAACAACTAATACACTTAAATAACATTTCCTACCTCTTCAGACTACAACTGAATATGGTGTATATTGTTTGCATAGTTCCGAAAAACATAACCGTAGGAAACTGTTCTTTTAATATTGCTTATGCTCCCTAGTATTTGTCTGACATAATTGGCACATTGCCATAACTTTAAGCCCTACAATTAGTGAGTATAATAGCATTACTTTCTAACGTTTTTGTAATTATTTGAGCAATTTTAGTACCAACTTTGTCACTACAATCTACAAATTTCAAAAATCGTTTCACAATATCATATTGCGATTCATGGCAAACTTGGTAACGTAAAATAAATTTTGTTTGGTCAACATGTGATGAATCTGTATTAAAATCTACAATTATTGCTTTACAATTTTACAAAATTACAACTTTGCCAAATGAATTTCTTCCAAAACATTATGCTTAACATGATCAGCAGCAGTATGCTAATCTCCCCGTTAAGCTTAACGGAGCTTTTGTCTGAAATTTCATTACAATATATCTAAGTAAAGAAATGACGTAAATCTTATTTAAATTTTTTAAAATAAAACTAATACTAAAATAAAACATTTATTTTTAAAAATTTATATTTTTAAAGAACTTTTTTATTAATATAGTTAAAAAGAAATTTTTTACTAACGCTTCGTTAAGCTTAACAGAGAGATGAGAATACTGCCCCAGAACATTCTGCAATAAACTCATTTTGGGAATGATTTGAGAGGTAATGTACTTGCAATCTTTCACCCTTTTTTAGTTACTCAGCTACTTTTAGAACGCGTTTCTTTAAAATAGAATCAGATATTTTCACCAATTCGTTGCGAAGACCCCTGAAAAGCAAGGTTCTCCTAAGAAAAGGATAACACAAATAATTCTAATCAAAATTTGGTACCATAGTTACCATTATCAGTTACCATTTTTCCAAATCCACTTTAATTGATGATTCAATAAAATTACCGTCGTGCATTGAAAGGCGTTCTATTACCTATGCTCATTATTCTATTATCTATCGTCCATTATCTATGCTCATTACTCTTTTCATGATCTGGTAATCATGTTACATTAATTCCGCCAATTGAAACTCACTGGCTAGCCTTTAGCTGTAGTTAATGCAGATTTGGAAGCAATTTATAGCTTGGAACAGACATGAAACTTTGTTACAATTAAAAAGTATATATATATTATTTATGTGCCCCTAAATTCTTATGGGCTCTGGTGCAGCGCACCGACTGCACCCCCTCTCATAGGGCCTGATGCAGGGTCTATTCTAGATTTTTTTCAACAGTACCAACTGTATTTGAGCAAAATTCAAAATTGAGGTCTTTTTTTTTTTGATATACGTATATATATATATATATATGTATGTATGTATACAACCCTCGGAATAAGAAAAATTGAAGTTGGCAATAATTTGCTGACCTCAATCTTTTAGATGTTGGCAAAAAAGTTTGATACAAAGGTCTTACCATAAAACAGAAATAAAGTCGGCAATTATTTGCCGACCTCAAACACTTTTCGGTTGGCATTGCTGACCCTAATTCTGAGGTTTGTATATATATTTATCATATAAAGCATACTTAGCTTAGCAATCTGAAGTCATACTGATTTTGAGTATAACAGTACATAAATAACTTGATAGTGTAGGTAGAACATGCAAGGGAGTACTGCTACATCCACTGAATGCTTTGGTTTAGGCAGCAATTATTTTGTTGTTTTTTTAGTTATTTATTTTTGTGAAAAAATACCTTATAAGTTTAAAATAGACAAAATATCCATAAAAAAAGTCAGCAAAAAAAAACTATATATTGTTATCCTAGCTAATTTAAATCAGTACTCTCCTTATGTTTCTTAATGCTTGTCTCACGGTGCAGCATTCTTGTTTGTCAAGGTTTGTATTTTGGAATTAGAGAGGTGAGAGAGGGTTGTAACTGCAAGTAACCTCCTCAACTGTAGTAGCCCTCACAGATGGTTAAAAAAAAAAAAAAAAAAAAAAAAGAATTTTACACATTTTTTAAAATATATAAAATGATATATTAAAATAAATATATTAAAATAGTTTTAAAATATTGACTTTAATACAAACAGTTTTTTTAGGGGGAAAAAAAAAAAGATGAGATAAAGAAAAAAAAAAAAATTAAAATTTATATACAGTGCAAATGAATTGCAT